TATATTTATTTTTTAGTTGTAGTTGGCCACAGTATCTTTATTTCAACCCTGTGGTGTTGGACTTTTTTTTCCTACAACAATTATAAAATAGTTTTTAATCCTCCAATGGCAGTGGAGTAGTATTTTTAAAATAATTTTTCAGCTGGACATGGTGGTGCGCACCTGTAATCCCAGTATCTTAGGAGGCTGAGGTAGGAGGATCACAAGTTCAAAGCTATCCTCGGTAAAAACGAGGCACTAAGCAACTCAGTGAGACCCTGTCTCTAAATAAAATAGAAAAAAAAGGGCTGGGGATATGGCTCAGTGGTTGAGTGCCCCTGAGTTAAATCCCTGGTACCCATTCACCCCGAAAAAAAATTTATTTTTTTATTGTTGTAGTTTGTAACAATTTTTCACCTTTAGAAATAGGAGTTAAGGGTTAGGGTTGTGGCTTAGTGGTAGAGTGCTTGCCTCAAATGTGTGAAGCACTGGGTTTCATCCTCAGCACCACATAAAAAATAATAACAATAAATAAATAAAATAAAGTTATTAAGAAAAAAGAAGAAATAGGAGTTAAAACCAGGTGCAGTATCATATACCTATAGTTATAGGTACTTGGGAGGCTGAGGCAGGAAGATTGCTTGAGCCCAGTTATTTGAGATCAGGATTGGCAACATCGTGAGACCCTGTTTCACATACACCAAAAAAAAAAAAAAAAAGAAGAAGAAGAAGAAAAAGAAATAGGACTTAAAAGTATCATTTCTTATTTGTCTTTTTTTTAAGGTGACATCTATGTACATGCTGATCTTCATGGAGCTACTAGCTGTGTAATTAAGAATCCAACAGGTAATAATAATATATTTGTTATTCAAAATTTAATTCCTTTCCTTAAATTTTTTTTTTTTTAACTGTAAGATTTAATAAAGGATATAGTAGGGGCTTGGGCTATAGCTCAGTTAGTAGAGTGCTTGCTTTTCATGCGTAAGTCCCTGGGTTCAAGCCCCAGCACCACACACACACACACACACACACACACACACACACACACAAGAATGTAGTGATAAAAGGTATCCTATGAAGACAGTAAAACAATTATGAACATATATGCATCTACTAGAATTACATGAAGCAAAGCCAGACAGTACTAAAGGAAGAAATAGATCTGTAATCATATTTGGAGACTTCAAAATCCAGCTTTTAGTCAATTATTAGAATACTTAGACAATAGATTAACAAGGAACTAGGAGTCTTGAACAGCACTATCAACTAATTAAACTCAACAGACAGCTCTAGAACATTCAATCTAATAATAGAATATTTATTTGTCTAAAATGAATATTCTTTGGGATAAGCCATTTTGATAGTTTTTAAAATAAATCTTAATAAATTTAAGACAAAATCGTGCACAATAATTTTTCTGACTTTAATGGGATGAAATTAGAAACCAGTTGTATAAAATTTGGAAAATTCACAAATATGTGGAAATTAAACAATATAACTCATACATAATATATCAAAATTAATGAGATTATTTAGAGGAAAATTTATAGCTATAAATTCCTATGCTTAAAAAGAGGAAAAACTCAGATCAATGACTTTATACTTTGTCAGAAAAATAACTCAGAGCTAGACAAGGAAGGAAATAATAAAGATTAA